TTCATCACCTCTGTTTTCTCTATGTTCACCTGAAGGCATATCTTTGACGCTTCTTCTGCTAACTTGTCGCTTTTCGCTTGCATGTCTTCCAGTTTGTGGGAAATCAGACATATATCATCGGCGAAGTTCATATCCTCCAAGTTTTTTGTGTGTGTCCATTTTATGCCTGTTTCCTCATTGCCCGCTATTTGTCGCATTATCCAGTCTACTGCAATCAAGAAAATCATTGGCGATAGTAGGCAGCCAGCTTGTCTTACTCCCATCTTCAATTTGAAGAATTCTGTGAGTTTCCCGTTGTGGATTACTTGTCATGCAGCATTGTCGTACAGCTGTTGGATGAGATGTATAATTGTCGGTGACACCACGTAGTGGCGAAGTAGTTTCCAAATAACCTCTCGATCGACGCTGTCAAAGGCCTTTACAAAGTGGATGAAATTGAGATAGAGAGGTAACTGCCATTCCAAGCTTTGTTCAATGATGATCCGTAATGTGGCGATCTGATCAATGCATGACTTGTTTCTCCTGAATCCAGCCTGTTCCGGTCGAAGTTTTTCATCCAGGGTGGCGTGTTTGATTCTCTCCAGGATGATGTGGCTTAGTATTTTGCTTGGGATGGACAGGAGCATAATTCCGCGCCAGTTCTTGCATTGACTTAGGTCTCCTTTCTTTGGTAGTTTGAATAAGTATCCTTTCTTCCAATCCTCGGGTACTTTGCCTTCTTTCCACACCTCATCCATTAGTGGCGTCATCAAGTCCGCTGTTGTCTCTGGGTCTGTTTTCAATGCTTCTGCTGGGATTCCATCTGGTCCTGCTGCTTTTCCAGCTTTTAGCATCTTGATTGCCTTCAGGACTTCTGATTTCGTCACCGTCTGACTCAGGTTAAAACTCGTCGTTTTCTACTAGGGTTCTACTCTGGGGTATACCTGTGGTGTGATGTCAATCAACGATCTTTTCAGTGTACGTCCTGGCTATCCCCATTTCCCTCGGCGTATTTGTCGAAGTTTCGTGTAGTTCATCCTTTCCGACGTGTCATCTGATATTTAGTGACGAGTGAAGTGGCCAAGTGTTGATGAAAGTCTGCAGCAGACTGTTGACTTTAGTGTTGAAGCTCCAGATCTTGTTCCTGATGCTGATTGTAGTAGATTTCCACACTGATTTCAGAGCAATGAAGGTTTGTCTTGCTTTTCCATTCCTGGTTGGCTTTTGACATCTTCATCTGTACCTGTCTGTCTGTTTGGATTCAACATAGAACTTGGCACCGAAGTGCAGCAGTTCCAGTTGCCACGTTCCAAATAGCACACAAAGGTAGACAAGAAGATGAGTGATGAAGAGAATCAATAGAGTTTTGACAAGTATAAGAGTGAAACAGAATGAGTAATGGTAGAAAGGAATATGAAAGATTACAGAGACTGAATACATCTGCGTAAGCCATTGACAACGATTTTGAGCCATGTCACCTATTGTCTCCAGCCATTGATTCTTAGAGTCCCGAGGACGGGCCCCAACCTGGAAGTCTGCATCCTCCCTACCTGACTCAGTTTAACTGTCAAGGATTTCATGGATTGATGAGGCCATGTTTTTGTTTGGCCACCACTTACTCTTTTCCAACCTGCACCTATATCAGCTAGTAATGCCCGTCAGGGGAGGCGATGGTTAGGCATGCGCAGCACGTGACCTAGCCATCTCAATCTATGTAACTTCATAGCCTCTTCGATTGATTTTCCCTCTTTGCCCAACACTCTACGCCTAACATCAACATTACTTACTTACTTACTTACTTACTTCATCTGTACCGCCTGGGATTGAAACCATACTGCCTAGATAAGTGAAGGTGGTAACCTCCTTTAAATTTCGTTGATGAGGTTTGTTTCTTGTTGTTTTAACTTCATAATCTCTGCCTTCTTTATGTTTAATTGAAATCCTGTCTTTGCTGGTGAGTTTGGGAAAGAGTTAGGCGTGTTCAAACCAAAGCTAGACATTAGTCAATGAAGTTTTTCACAGTTGGTTTGAACTAACCATTTAAGGGCATCTTCGGGATGCTAAGAACGAATAGTCCATCAGCGATGCCCACTATCCGCATTTCTGTTCAATTTCATCATAGATGTACTAATGGACTTAACCCTAACTCACTTCAGAGACTCAGGGATTGACTTGCTACCAGGGTATAATCTCGTTGACTTAGAATATGGAAATGATATAGTCTTCTGAACACCTTTAGCTGCAATCTACGAATGTTTGGCATGCGATTCGCTCCCTCCAAATGTAAGATGATGTTACAGGACTGGACTACACTGACTCCTAGTTTAGAAATAGGCAGTGAAGTGGTAGAGCTTCACTTATTCGGGAAGTTGCATCAGACCCAACGGGTTGATCTCTGACGAAATCTCAACACGGATACAGAGGGCTAGTTTCGCATATGCCAGTTAACGCCGTCTCTGGCGTAGACGTGATATCCGGCTGGCTGTCGACCAAAGGGCGTGTGTACTGCACTGCAGCAGTCCGCTCTGTCCTCCTTTATGGCTGTGAGACCTAGCTATTGAGAGCGGAAGACATGAAAAGGCTAGCTGTCTTTGATCATAGGTGTCTGCGTTCTATCTCCCATGTGAAGTGGTATAATAGGGTGAGCAATATTGAGGTTAGGCATCGGTCGAGTGCTAGGTAGGTGGGAGGGGAAATCAATCGACGAGGATGTGAAGTTACATCGACTGAGATGGTTAGGACATGTGTTATGTATGCCTAGCCATCGCCTTCCTCGACGGGCAATGTTAGCTGACGTAGGGTCAGGCTGGAAAAGAGCTAGCGGCGGTCAAACCAAAACATGGCCTCATCAATCAATGAAATCCACAACAGTTAGTTTAAGCCAGCCACGTAGGAAGGTGTAGACTTCCTGATCGGTTGGTGTCCTCGGGACGGTAAAAGGCAATGGTTGGAAACAATCGGTGATATGGCTCAAAATCGTTTTCAATGGCTGTTGCAGATGCATCCACTCCTTTCCAATAAAACTATATTGTTCTTCGTTATTACTATTCCTTTTGTCTCATATCCCTGTTTACTGTCTCTATTATGCATTTCTTCTACTTTCTTCTCTTGCTTTGTGTGCTACATGGAGTGTGGCGACTTGAACTGCTGCACATCAGTGCAAAGTTCAATGTCGGAAACAGACAGACAGTTGGGAACTATTAGTGTTATAATTCAGAATCGTTCTCAGTAGCTTGGATGGACTCACTCTCTGCGGTCTTCCATATATATCAGTCTCACCAGTTTTTCCATGTTAATATTCTTAATTTCTGCTGCACATTTCCGTTCATTAATAGTTCTTCTGAATCTCTTCTCTCCCTATTTTTGTGTGCTACATGAAGATTGGTGAATAGAATGGCTGCAATTTTGTACGGAGTTCTATGTTGAAACTTACTCAATCACTCACTTACTCATTCACTCAGTCGACCAGTCTAGGCAGAATACATGGTATTACATTTTTGTAAATGGTAGTTAGTTAGGTCATAATTTATATATTCATTGCAATATTTTTAGTAACGAATTTAGACCAGTTTGCCTATTTCGACAAATCAGTTTTATGACGAGAATAAATCAGTGCTTGTATTGGTAGTGTGAGATGCTTGCTCTTAGTGAACCGCTTGAAGTTGTCGATAAGTTCGTGTATCTGAGTAGTTGTGTGATTGGTGGCGGAGGTGTGATGCATGAGACTTCCAACCGTAGCGACGTTAGCCTGGCTGTCAAAGGTTAGGTTTACAATGCTTTGGTGTGCCTTGTTTCACTCTACGCCTGCGAGGCCTGGCTTCTCCAAGCTGACGATGTACGATGACTCTACGTATTCGATCGTCGCTGTCTCCGTAGAATTGCTTGCGTTCGATGGTATTATCGTGTGAGTAACTCTGAGGTCCGGTGGCGTGTGTTTGGACACAGTGGAGATCACCATTCATTGAATGTCGTCATCTGGAAACACTGGTTCTGGTGACTTGGGTATGTGCTACGAATGTCATCCCAAAGGCTTCTGTACCGGTCTCTGTTCGCTAACTTTGGGAGTGGATGCAAAAAACTTAGAGGTCGTCGGCCCATGACGTGACGTCGTGGGATGAAGGATATTTGTGGTAGGTTAGCATCGTTTGGTGCGTCATGACTCCTTGGTTGGCGGTCTAAGAGAGCTCAAATCGATGGCTCGAAACATTATCGGAAATGGCCAAGAATCGTGGTCGTCAATAGCAAACGTGCTGCATTTTCTTCCTCTCTTCCCTTTCTGAAAATAATTCGACGAATGCTGTTTGGTCTTGTGAAATATAGATGCCTTTTTCCCAGATGAAGTTATTATTATTATTATTGTGTGACACATCTTCTTGGTGGCATATTGTACCAAGTTTTGTGTTTTAAATAAAAAAAAATGAAAAAAAATGTGATGCTAGCTTAAATTTTTGCGTTTTTTGTGGGTTCATCGAGGCTAGCATAAGATGAAATCCATATATGCTCTTCATAGCCTCTACTATGTAAGTCTCATTCATCACTGTCTTCACGCCACAGGTGTTCCTCACAAAAGCGAAAGGTCGAATATGAACTTATGGAGCTTACAACATGACCGGTGGACATCCAGGTCTACCCAGGGAAGCTGAAAACCCTGATTCCAAACATATAGTGTACATGGACTCTAGAATACAAAAGGATCAAATGCCGTATGAACCTGTTCTGGACACCTGAAACTCTGGGGAAAGAAGTAGCACGTGAAGCTAGAGCACACTTTTGCGAGTGAGACTTCATGTCGACAGGTCGGAGGGGGTGGGGTTGGCTCTCTAAGACAACCACCTCCTGTTTGATCATATATAGGCATTATTCCAGCCCTTGAGGAAACGATGAGATTTTTTCTGGCTCATGTCTTAGTGCTCATAATGCGCCAAGTTTGTTTTTCTAGTAATAATAATTCTTATGCTCTTATTACGCAATACTCAAATCCCCTCCCCCGCGTGATATTTTCATTTTCCACAAAACAACAGGCACGGAGAATCCAGCCGATCCTGATGAACGAGCTGAGGTGGCAATCAATCCAAAAACAGGTGGAAGTTATGCTGTCGTTCAAAGGTGGATTCATAATATGGATGTGATTAGAACAGCAAAAGGTAAGCGAGAGATGTGTATCTCACAGATGTCATTGAAGTTGACGAATTTTGATTGGTTGGAGGATTTCATCATGAGCTGACATCAGTTAGAGAACCATTGGATAACCTGCGGGGAGTACTGGACAGCTGCTTCGTCCTTCTGAAGAGTCACAGACTAGGACGAAACAACTGTTATATATATATATATATATATATATATATATATATATATATATAAGAATCAACTGAAAATTAGTTTTGTTTCACTGGCCTACTGTTTCCTCTGATTGTCTTATAGTTGAAAGATATTCATCTGTCTACATCTCGATGCTTAAAGTGATTAACTGGACTGACCGGCTGACTGAATGAATGACTGTTTATGCAATTACTTACTTACTTTACTTTGGCTATCTCCTACGGGAGGATGAGCCGGCTTCATAAACATCTCGAATCATCGCTGCCCAGGCATCTGATTGTAAGAGAGTTCATGAAGTTTCATGCGAATTTGGTACGAGTGATGTCCCCAGAATCTCTCGGCCTTTTGTTTGAGAGTGCAGCTCTAGCCTTTACACAACCAAGTGTGACCTACAAGGCAGTAGGAGTGGAGTAGGGAGTCCACTATCCATTGGGAGCCGGTGACCGGAGTTCGGTTCATACGCCTTTTTGAATGGAGCCAGACATCCAGGACATCCAACAAGCCCTTTGTCCATACGTCTGCCGGTGAGCTCCAGTGAGCTTCATACGCCAGTCGTTGGAGGTTTGGAATCAGAGTTTAGCCATCTCCCCTAGACTGTCATCCAATGGACAGTCAACCCGGTGAAGAGCGCTTTCGCCCTCTTACTTTGGTGAAAAACACCTCCGCCACGTGAAGGCAGTGAGTAGGACTTCCTCAGGAGAGGCTATGTAAGTGTGGCCAATTATTACTTCCCAGGTGTGTCCACACCATGGAAGTTGATTTCGTCTTGGGGTGCCTGAAACAGAAAGAGCTTTAGTTGTTATGTGAAGATGGAGCTTCAGGAAACAACTGCTTAAGGCCAGATCACACACAGCCTTTTTGAAGTGGTTATTGCAGGTGTATCCGCACTAAGGTCTTACCGCCCGCTACGGATCATTGCTAGGTAAGTGGGGATGTGCAATCTTTGGAGTCAATGTTTTCTATCTCTTCCTCTCTCCAAGTTGAAGAAGTAGCATAATCGGTTTCCTAATCATCTGAGGGAAACACCTTACTGCTATTACACCCGTATTCATCCACAAACACCTAACACAGTGTAAACACTGACCGCTGCTATCCAGACGAGATTAGTTCCAGCCAGTATAGTTTGTTGGGTCATTGCAATATGCAAGCCTGGCCACACATTTTAAGGCAGGAGTTGTCTCTTGGACAAGACAGTTACTGTTGATTCCCATCCTACGTGGTATCTCATGACCTCCTGTGTGCTATGCGGGGAGCCACGATGGATCGGCGAATTATTATTATTATTATTAGTCACCCCGAATCAAAGCGTCCGTACTAGGATCTGACATGACAACAGAAAGTGAGTATTCAGATGAACTGTCGTCAAGATTTGACAGAACAGTTCTAAAATATTTGGGCGCCGAGTGAGAAGTAGACATTTGTGAAAAATTATATTTGTAAAATCTCAGCGAGATTGAAATGAGTAATTCCAACGTTTCGTTCGGCAATCTAGTGGTCCGAACTTCTTCAGGGAGTATTTCGAGAAATTCAAATTGAATGAATGAATGAATAAAAATTGGCATCCGTTGCAAAAGGAATATGGCTCTTATCGGAACGGTTGGAACACTGTCAATCACTAGAAAGTGGGATGCAAGCATGTCCAGATGACGAGTTTCACATAGGATGAAACACACCTACTGGATACTACTGTCAACCATCATCGAACAAGTTACATCTTATTCATTTTAACGCATCTTCAAAGCATCTATACATGTCAACAGACACTGAGAAAATTTCTATGTGGTAAAAATAATGAATGAGAAATTTAGAAAACAGAAAGATTGAGCAGCGAAGAAATATTTACTTTTCAATTAGATCCTCATCTCTATCTGGCTCTACTCTAATATACATAGATAGCATTTTTATTACAATACACAACAGTTTACCAATCAAGTGGCACTGATATGTTTGTTAACAATAATTAGTCAGTATCAACATGTCAATACGATGGGTGATAATTAACGAAGAAAATCAATACACATTTAAAAGGTAGAAATGGTTAGAATAAATTAATTTTACAAGGATAACACGTAATTAAAGATGAAGTGGTCAAAATAAATAAAAATAAAAATAATTTGGACAAGGTTTAGGGGGAGGGGGACGACGTAGTCCTGTTTATGCATTCTTGTAACGATGGCCACAGTAAGGAAAGTGGCTGTACAAATTTCTTCTGAACACATAGGCTTGGCTTCTTCAGGTGGATTCCTATTGCTTCAGCTGTCTGTAGAAGACGAACTCGTAGAGCGAAATTAAGATTAGTAGGAATGCGATAAATAATTTTAAATGCAGTATTAACATCAACCTTATGCTCAGTATCAACAAGGTGTGCTAAAATAGAACTACGAATAGATCTTGTTTGTCCCTTGCTTAACCATGTTGGATGATGTTCGGAAATACGACGATGAACCTGCCTAATTGTACGCCCAATGTAGCTGGCTCCGCAGCTGCAGTCAAACTGGTAAATACACAGAAGAGGTAAATTTAGGTAGTTTATCCTTATTTCTCGAACATAGAATAGGGGTGGTAGTGAAGAGACAACGTACCTCTGCTGCATAATAAGCTCTTTTAACTGCATTCTTCAGGCGCTGTGTTATTATTTCGCTGATGTTGTCACCGAGGAACTGCAATTTCATGAACATTGGTTTTTTCGGAACTGTAGCCATACTGACTCTCCTTGGTGCTGAATTCACATTTTTCTCAATGAATTTATTGGATAACCATTTTTTCTAAGCAATTCTCTAATAATCTTAAGCTCCTCATTGAGGCAGTCGTCTGAACAGATTAACCTAGCTCTATGAACCAGACACTTTACCAGGTTACTTTTATATTTCAAAGGTACAAAACTCAAAAAAAATGAGTGTACTGACCTGTTGTTGTAGGTTTCCTATACACACTCCTTCTTAGTGTGCCATCTTCTTTCCTTGCCATGAAGACGTCTAGGAATGAGATACTGTCATTACTTTCTTTCTCTATGGTAAAGTTGATTGCTGAATGAGAAATTTACAATAACTCTAGTAAATAATCTTCCTAAAATATGCCTATGAATAGTTGTATGGTAGACAATGCGTGTATGTGTGTGTGTGTGTTTGAGAAAATATTAAACAGGAATTCATTGATGTTGAATCGATCGAAACCCTCAAATAGAGTGCGTTATTCCATTCCAAGGATGGAGACAGGGCTCATTGGCTTTAGCGCTCGATTATTATTATTATTACTATTATTGTTAATGAACCACACACGTGTTACATTATGGGCACCAAGAGGTGCGCCACACAAAATCCCGCAGTTCGTTCGTGGATTGTGATACTGCCCAGACACTCAGACCAAAGTAGGTGGTTGTCTTAAGAGGCCACTCCCAGAGCTTTTGACTTGAAGTGGCCTGACCGATAGCTGCTACCTTGACGTGGTGGTCGAACTTGCATATTGCAATGATCCAACAAGCTACACTGGCTGGAACTATTGTTCCTGCAGGTCCTACCATGCCAGGAAGGTTGTTAGGATAGCGATTAGACTAAAAGCAGTTACCGGTATTGTGTAAGAATTTTTTTACACTATGCTGGGGGTCTGTGGGCGAAGTCGTTCTGCTGAGGAACAGGGATGTAACAGCAGTAAGGTGTTTCCCTCAGATGACCAGCACGCCAGCTATGCTGTCTCTCTACTCTGGAGAGAAGGGGTTAGAAAAGGTCGACCCCAACAATTGTACATCCCGACTTACCCTACCTACGGTGGTCCATAACCGGCGGTAAATTTACTAATACGGAACTAATCCAAGAAACCAGTTCATACAGGCCGTGTGTGACCGGCCTCAAGCAGTTGTCCCCTGGGCTCTGCGGTCACGCAACACTAACCCTCTTTCTGTCTCAGGTAGCCGAAGAATCAATCAACTTCCACGGTGTGGGCAGCCGGGAAGTAACAACCGCCCAGACACTTCCGAAAGCACACGAAGCCTTCCTGAGCATCATTCTCCTGTACCCACATCACCTTCATCATCTTACTTACTTGAAGTAGAACAGCTCCAGGAGCTACGTTCGCATGGTTTCTGGTGACCTAAACAGATTCATACTACATTCGATCCGTTCCTATTCTGGAGGCCTTGTACATCATCTGTTTGCAATCAGCATTTTCCAGCTTCCCTACTGGTTAGACGTAAGTGTATGTCCACCAGTAGGGTTGTTAGCGCCAGATTTTCGCTTTTTATGGGGAACGCTCCCACAGAGTTTGAAGGCAGTGAATGCGGTTTAGCTAGCAGAGGCTATGGAGGCACATGGCCACATGACAGCATTTTGAAAGGAAGATAGAAAACGCTACCCACCTTTCGGTTGTATCAGATCGTGTATGAAGGTATTCGACTCTTCGCCAATAGGTCCCAGGTTAGAGTCCCGCCCGGTTGGGTAATGGGGTAGTGATATCAGCAGTCCCCACATAATAATTGCATGACTCATAGCCTAGAACACATGACAGACGTGTTACGGGTAGCTGAGCGCAAACAAAACGCTCCACTTTACTGTGTCTATTGGTGGCTGCCTAGAAAGAGCCGGAAGTGTGTGTTTATGTATATATAATTTGATTAGTGGAAGTAATTTAAGTCTCTGTGATTTTGATGTTTTGATTCTCGTTTTCTGTCTGATTTTCATTCACTTGTTTTGCTGTTTTAAAAATTTCTAATAGAACAAACAAAAGAAGGCTGGATTGGTCGAACACTGAGTGACAGTATTGAATTGAAAAAGAAACCAATCACGGCGCATGTTTCCAGAATGGTTGGATGTAAGTGCCTCAATGTATGTGTGTATGTACATGTATCTGAAGCCGCGTAAATGCTTTTATACCTAGAAGGAATATTATTTATGATTAGTATTGTCTCCTTTAGTTCCTAGAGGAACATAGGGCTTCAGCCGTACGTCTCCATTGCGTTCGGTTCTCTGCCAACGTTTTCACCTGGCTCCACGTCTACCCACATGCTTTCACCTCCTCTTCACATCACCTCCTCCATGTCTCACATCTACTATGTTTAAATTCCAAGGCAAAGCATATATAGACAAACAGAAGGTGTAGCAATGGGGTGGATAACCAATATCCCCTATCGTAGCAGATATCTTTATGGATAGCTGGGAAAATATTGCTCTAAATACATTTAATCCCACTCCAAAGATATGGTGGAGATATGTGGATGACACTTTCCCTCACAGTGTTAAAAACAGAACATATCTCTCTCTAGCTTCTTGACGCACATATACTCACTAGTAGAGGGAATAAAATTCACATTTGAATCAGAAAATGAACAAGGAGAATTTAGCTATGATGTTAGATTGTAAAATCAAACGAACAGAAGAAGGTAAACTGTACACTAGCGTTTATAAAACGCCAACGGATTCTAATATTGGAATATTTAGACTAACGATACCTCAACAACCAATTGTCCAACAGTTCCACTACCTCATACATTTATTCCCCTTTATAAAATTTGAATAAGGCAAGAAGAATAGTCTGTCGAGAATAGGATGGTAACACCATTTATCTTGTTGGCTTTTCACGTGCTGCACATGCCTAACCATCGCCTCCCCCGAAGGGCATTACTAACTGATATAGGTGCAGGTTGGAAAAGAGTAAGTGGTGGCCAAACAAAAACATGGCCTCATCAATCCATGAAATCCTTGACAGTTGAACTGAGTCAGGTAGGGAGGGAGATGCAAACTTCCAGGTTGAGGCCCTCAGGACTCTAAGAATCAATGGCTGGAGACAGTAGGTGACATGGCTCGAAATCGTTGTCAATGGCTTACGCAGATGTATTCAGTCTCTGTAATCTTTCATATTCCTTTTTACCATTACTCATTCTGTTCCACTCTTATACTTGTCAAAACTCTACTGATTCTCTTCACTTATCTTCTTGTCTACCTTTGTGTGCTATTTGTAACGTGGCAACTGGAACTGCTGCACTTCGGTGCCAATTTCTATGTTGAATCCAGACCAGAGACCAGAGTTGGCTTTTCCTTAGCTGCTTACAGCCTAAGGAAATTATTAAGTTTGTGTACAGGATAATTTTAACATACTTGCAATTTCTGCATGATACCAGTTGACATGAGTTCAAATTTAAACAAAAAATTAATGTATACATACAAGGAGTTATGTAATAAAGCCTGTAAGTAAGATAATGAGTAACCAACAGATTGAGTAACAATATACTGAGTCCAACTCAATCGTAAAAACGATAGACAAGCAAAGTCACACTATATCAATAGGGAAGAGATCAAAGCCAAAGGTGACGTAACCACGTGAAAAGGAGAATAAAGACATCCAGTTACCAAGGAAAGACTGATAATTGCTTCTTTCTGAACACATAAACTGGGTTTCAGACATATGATAGGAATTGCTTCGAAGAACTTCAGCAGAAATGAGCCATATGGTCTACTGATTATTATAAAGAATTTTGCGATATCCACCTCTGGACCCGTATCAAGGAGATGCTTGGCAATAGCACCATGCAGAAACAGATATCAACAGCACAAAATCTGGTTAATGTATCTGAAATCATCAAGGTAGAATCCACGACGACGAGACGATATCAAACTTAGACAAACAGAGGAGCAAATACAAGGGATAAAGATGTTTGAAGTCACTATTTAAAACAAACGTAGTGCCTCTGCATACATCTGCCTCACTGCAACAGACTCTATAAAATATCGAATATATTCTCAAACAACAAATTTCAATCACCACTTACGAATTGAAACTACAAGGGTTAAGCCAACTCCAACAAGTTCATGCATTGGGAATATCAAAAATGACCTAAAGCAAAATAAAAATAATGGTGAAACTAATGGTGATAACATAAATAAGAAAGAATATAAGGCATCTACAGTTCTACCATACATATAAGGAGAGGACATCTGGGGCCCTATTCGGGATTCTCAATAAAGCAGGAATTAGGGTGGCACTCAAACCTATAAACTCACTCAGGTTGGACAAGCTCTAAAGGCTAAAGGACCTGGTGGACCCAATTAAACAAAATAATATAATTTACAATGACTGTGAGTGATGTCAACTACATAGGCCAGTCAAAGTAGTAGATTGGGGGTAGCCAGATTGTTAGAACATAAGCATTTAGCTAGGGTTGGAATGATTGACCTTGCGAAAGTAAGTAATTTTGAAAAGAGCTCAGCGATTGCACTGCATGCATTGACACACAACCACACAATAGAGTGGTGGGAGAGGGTTAAAATTCTAAAATGTTTTATAGGTAGGTGGAGAGAGAGACTAGTTGATTACTGAATCCTCGTTCATCGAGTCTACACAGCCAATATATGCAACAGAAATGACTCAATGCAAATACCAGAGATATGGAAGATATTATTACCACCAGTCAGTCAAATCAGAGGAGGATAATAAATAATGTTAAAGTGTATTCAATTCACACATTATGACATTTTAACAAGTTATTTATTTATTTTACTATAAAAACATGTTATTTCCCATCTGATTGTATTTTATTGGTAACACTAATATTATTATTTCCGAATGCACTTTATCTTATATTGATTTTATTCAAATGTCTGATCATCAATTTCTACTCATGTATATAAACGAAGCAAGAAAGTTGCGTGAGTAGTGTCTTGATATGATTATGAACAGCAATAATTTGTGCTCGAAAGGTGGTCATCAGTAACAAAAATGTGTGATTTTATCAAAATAAAATCTTATCCAGTGGGCGTCCCCTTCGAATTAGAATCCAGGAACACAAATCAGCCGTCAAAAGACACGATATGTATTCTTTAGTATCAATGCATACAGACAATTATGGTCATCAATTTGATTGGGATCATGTCAAAATCTTAGACAGAGGAAACACCAAAAGTGCAGTCAGGGAATTCCTAGAAGCCTGGTACTCAAGCGAAAATGCAATTAACAAACACGTTAATATAGACGAAATATGCCAACTAATAAAAAGTAAATCAGGTGACCAGAAAGTTTAAAATCCAAGTCAATAGAAAATGGTCGATATATATGTAAAGATAGTCACCAGGAGACGCAATTATATCACTCATGAAGAAATTTAAATCATTTCACTTTATGCTAAAAATTGCGCTGAAAGGGGATGTTGTCCAGAAGGACGACGAAAGCTCTGCAACCAAACCAACCAGCTCAGAGAACACTGTTAATTGCAAATCATCCACCTGAGCTACAAATCTTCTGTATTACTCCACTACAGTGCCCAAGTTTTATACTTATAAAGGTGTAATTGACGAGTTACACTTTGTTTCATAAGCTAGATGAGTTCATCCCAGCCACCGCAGTACAGACAACTCTTCTCTACTGAAATAACCTAAAAGTCTTTATTTTTTCCAATTTTTTTGTTTTATTTTCTTTTAAATATTTTTAATAGCGGCAGACTATGATGCTACACCGAAATTCAAAATAGTCCGTCAATCACAACCATATGGTACATTGTCTGGAGATGCTGGCCTATTGTTCATTGCCTATGCAGCCGATACAAAGAATTTCGACTATATGTTAGATCGTATGACCGGTGACAGTCCGGATGGCAAGCATGATGATGTTATGCGTTTCACCAAGTGTGTCAGCGGGAATTATTGGTACTTCCCTAGTGGAGCTGAATTCGATCGTTTGGTTAGCAGTGGTGGAAGTGGTCGACGTGGATTTTGGTGATTCACGCACACAAACACAGTCGATTTTCCAACTTTTTGTTGTTGCCTTGCTTATGTGATCTCGTTTTCTTTGTTTTTTCTGTCTTTCTTTTCTGCAATTAGCAGTCATCAATCATGAATTAAAAATTTCTATAAATTTGTAATAATTGTGTTTTGTGTTGAGTTTGAAAACTACTCAGATGGAGATGAATATAACTCACCTGTCTGTACATAGGGCATAACTAGTATGAAGTTACCTTGACGAAGTTAAAAAAAAACAGGGATCTAACTGAACATATGCCAGTTTACTCCGTCTCTGGCGTAGACGTGATATCCGACTATCGACCAAAGGACGTGTGTACTGCTCAGCAGTCCGCTCCGTCCTCCTTTATGGCTGTGAGACCTGGCCATTGAGAGTGAAAGACATGAAAAGATTAGCTGTCTTTGATCATAGGTGTCTGCGCTCTATCTCCCGTGTGAAGTGGTATAATAGGGTGAGCAATATTGAGGTTAGACGTCGAGTGCTAGGTAAGGCGGGGAAATCAGTCGACGAAACTGTGAAATTACATTGACTGAGATGGTTAGGACATGTGTTACGTATGCCTAGTCATCGCCTTCCTCGACAATGGGCAATGTTAGCTGACATAGGGTCAGGCTGGAAAAGAGCTAGCGGCGGTCAAACCGAAACATGGCACCAGTCAATGAAATCTACAACAGTTAGTTAAAGCCAGCCACGTAGGAAGGTGTAGACTTCCTGGTTGGGATCCGCGGGACGATAGAAACCAATGGTTGGAAACAATTGGTGACATGACTCAAAATCGTTCTCAGTTGCGCAGATGCATCCACTCCTTGTGACTTATGATTTCCAGTGGAACTGTTTTGTTCTTCGTTATTACTATACCTTTGTCTCACACCTCTGCTTACTGTCTCTTATATGCATTTCTCCTACTTTCTTCTCTTTCTTTGTGTGCTACATGGAGTGTGGCGACTTGAACTGCCGCACATATGTGCAAAGTTCTATGTCGAAAACAGACAGACAGACAACTGAACAAGCGTATGAATTACCTTGGGGGTGACTAATCAGGGTAAGCCAAGTTAATTTACTGACTGACTGGTTTCAACGTAGAACTTTGCTGCACAGATGTGCAGTAGTTCGAGTTGCCACACTCCCTCCATGTAGCACACAAAACAAGAGAAGAGATTCGGTAAAGAGAGATTCAAAAGAGAGAGAGAGGTAATAGACAGAAGTGTGAGTGAGGCAAAATGAATAGTAATATGGAAGAACAATAGAGTTTTATTGGATATTATAAATCACATGGAGTAAATGCATCTGCGCCAGCCTTTGGGAACGTCATTTTGAGCCATATCACCAAATGTTTCTAGCCTCCATTGGTTTTTACCATCCCAAGGACCTCAAACAGGAAGCCACTTGTTGACTTAAACTAACTGTTGTGGATTTCATTGACTGATGAAGCCATGTTTCGGTTTGACCACCACTATCTAGCTCTTTTCCAACCTGATCAATCCTATGTCAACTAACATTGGCCGTTGAGGAAGGCGATCGATGGCTAGGCATGCATGCATAACACAACACATGTGCTAACCATCTCAATCGAGGTAAATTCACAACCTCATCGATTGATTCCCACCCCCCCACTTGCCTAGCACTCGACTGATGCCTAACCTCAATACCACCTAACACAGGAGATAGGACGCAGACACATATGATCAAAGACAGCTATCCGGGCTTTTCATGTCTTCCAAGTTAATTTAGTTGATAAGTACTCAGTATATTCATGAAAACAAGGCTTCAACAAGATGCCTTTCGATGAGAATCAATTTCAGTTGTTCATAGGAATCTCGGTGTTTATCCAAGCGGCTATCGTTTTAGATGAGGAGCTGGAGTTATGAGCTAACGTTAGACATTAAAGTTGGGATTTAGACAGTATTTTTCTATGAATGTGAACAAAATTCGTTAACTAACTGACCGCCTGAGCTTCAGCATAGGAATTTACACAGAAGTCCATCAGTTGAGTTTGCCTTACCACATTTATCACACAAAGGCAGAGAAAAGAGAAGAATACGGCTTCAAAAGAAGCGTAATGAAGAGAAATATGCGAGAGAAAGAACAGTCACGTACAAGAATATTAGGGTTTTAATGGATATGGGCGCCATCATTGAAAGCGATTTCGAGGCATATTACCAATAGTCTCCAACCATTGGTTCTTGGAATTCCGAGGACCTGAACCAGGCTAGCTAAAACCAGTTGTTAAAGAGTTCATGGACTGATGTCAGGTTTTGATTTCACTACTCGGAACTCTTTTCCGACCTACTCCTATGTCAGTTAACATTACTTGTTGATGGAGGTGGTGACTTGGCGTGCGCAACATGCGTCGTAGTCATCTCAATCGATGTAGTATCATAACCTTATTGATTGACTTACCCTCCTTGCCTAAGACTCTACACCTAACCTCAATATTACTCACTGTATTGTACCACCTAACACGGAAGGTCGAACGTAAACATCTCTAGTGAAAGACATGTAACCTTTTCATATCTTCCGCCCTCAATGACCATGTTTCGCAGCTACAAAGACGGAAATAGAGAACTAGTGTGCAGTCCACATGTCCTTTAATTAATAACCAGATAGCACGTCAACACCAGCGATGACATAAGTTCGCAAATGTCATACATACAACTTTAGTATCCCTGCTGAGATTTTGTCAGCAATCAGTAGTCGATTAAGGCTGATGCAACTTTTCAAATCACTGAAATGATCAACAAGCTCTACGACTTCACATTCGTTATTAGTAGTAAACTCAACTCTGTAATAATTTAATAATTCCCATTGTAGCATTAAGAACACAATATTCAGCGAAGAGACTCTTTTCAACGAATTTATTATCAAACTGTACAATCGTATATATATGGTTTTTTCATCAAGAAATCATATCCGGTGAGGGAATTAGGTCAAAGGTGTGAATACATGAAATAATAATAGTAGTATGAAATGCAATTAAAATATTTGTGATCATAATCATAGTTTAATGTCAAGTAGGAAAGCAATCAATGTCATATACAGAATAATACATAAGGTGTATAGATTTTGAAAAGGGGTACATAATTATGTGCATCTATCAGTTCACCTACTCTTGTGGAACAAGGTACATTGGCCGTAGTCAGAGGACGCTTTCCACACGGATACGAGAACATATTCCAGCATGGTTTTACAAGGGAGAAAGGAAGTGTGTGCGAAGCTCTATTTTGGAACACCTGACCAACTCCTGTCACTCTGTCAACTCTCACCATGATTTTAAAATCATATACAGGATCCATGCTAACTTCCCGCGTTCTCTTCGTTACAGACTTATAAAGACAGCTGAGGCCTTGGTAATTCAAGACTTTAAGGCAGACCTTTGTGTACAAAAGAAGTATGCACAATCCCTACTTCTGCCTTGGATGTAGAGGGATAGACATTTATTTAATTTATTTAATTATTCTATGTACCTTTCCATTATTACTACGATTATTATTATTATTATTATTATTACTATTCTCACTCACCCACTTTATATATATTTTTATTTTTATTTTTACAATATTGAATTCTATCTTATCGAATTTCACAGCATGTTATGTAACATTTTATATTTGTCTACTAATCCTATAATTATACACCCCTTTTCAACATCTATACATCCTGTCAATTATTCTATATATGACATTAATTGTTTTGCCACTTGACATTAAACTATGATTATAATCACAAATATTTTAATTGCATTTCATACTACTATTATTATTTCATGTATTAACACCTTTGACCTAATTCCCTCACCGGATATAATTTCTTGATGAAAAAACCATATATATACGACTGTACAGCTTGATAATAAATTCGTTGAAAAGAGTCTCTTCGCTGAATATTGTGTTCCTCTGTAATAATTGCACTACTATACAAAGTAAACTGTCAAAACTTAGTTTTTAGCGATTTGATTTGTTTCAGGTCTAAGCACGGATTGATATCATTTAGAGAATCATTGAAAACCACTAGGCTGTTTCGTCCTAGTTGATGACTCATCGGCAGTACACACACAGGAGTTCGAATCCAGGACATTCCACTTACAAGCCAAGCTCTTAGATCATTCAGGCACTGGCACCCGACTCAATGACCTGTGGATTCGAACTTATACCATTTCGTGATTCTAGCGCGAACCCGGTGGGTGTGTACTACTGATGAGTCCCAAACTAGGACGGAACAACCGTGCAGTACTCCCTAGTTTTTAGTGGTTCTCTAACTGACTAACTGGTTTCAACGTAGAAATTTGCACAGATGTGCACCACTTCGAGTTGCCCCACTCCCTCCATGTGGAACACAAAGCAGGAGAAGAGAGTTAAAAGAGATAATAAAAAGAAATATGAGGGAAAAGGAATAGTAATATGGAAGAACAACAGTAGAGTTTTATTGGATATTATAAATCACAAAGAGTGGATGCATCTGCTCCAGCCAGCCATTGAGTACTAGAATTTGTAGCCATATCACCAATTGTTTCCAGCCTCCATTTTTTTTTACCTTTCCGTGGACTCCAACCAGTCAGGAAGTCTATCCCTTCCTACATGGCTTAAACTAACTGGATTTCTAACTAATGTCAGTTCTTGGTCAAGCTCAGAGCAGACTGATTGGCTGCCTCAAGGCCATTGATTCGCTCATCCCCATTGTTCATGTCATTCATATAAAGCTGAATGGTAACAGAATTAAGTAGTTTGCGAAGCATAAAGACATTATTAAAAACTTAATCTAATTCTTCCAGTTAGTAAACTTTAACAAAGCAAAAACAACAAACGTGTACTTGCATAATATGACTTCCTTCTTTATTATTTCGAGGACTCTTCTCAACTGGCTATAACCTATTATTATTATTGTTTCCTTTAGTTCCTAGAGGAACATAGGGCTTCAGCCGTGCGTCTCCATTGCGTTCGGTTCTCTGCTAGAGTCTTCACCTGGCTCCATGTCTACCCACACGTTTTCATCTTCTCTTCACATGACCTCCTCCAAGTCAGCCTTGCACTGACGACCAACTCGCCACTTCCCTTTCGGGTTCCACTCGAGCAATGGCTTGTCTAGTATGTCTCCATTTCTTCCTGCCTATTTGTTTCACAATCGGTTCCTGCTGTGTTGGTTCGCTCCCAGAGATCTCT